ATCGGTTGCAGACTGGACCCATTGAACCCACAGCTGTTTCGAAGCCTACCCATGGTGGGGAGAGCGTTTTGCTGAAAAAACTAAAACGGGGTAGGTCGAAGGAGAAGGCTAGGCCTACACCAAAGTGCCCGTTCCAGCCGAAGAGCCAGCTTCGCTCGGCCAAGTGGAACCTTTTGTTGCTCGGCTCGATCTGCGTTGCACGGGCGGGCTTGCGCATAGCAGCTGTCAACCACAAGCCGCATGTTGCAGTTGGCCCATTCATGGTCGTTTTTTGGTGTTCAATCAATGGGAGAATGTTCAATCAATGTAGATCATGTCTACAGTTCACTGGGTTTCATTTCACTTGGTCGGTCCTTTCTTTTTCGGGGTTCGGGATGATTCACTTTAGTTGGTGTTTTGGAAAACAATCGTTGCACTAGGTGACACAGCGATCTGCGGTGAAACCACAAGGACTGCACTCATGGCCACACGGCTCAGGAGCTAGATGCAGTGGAATACTTCGCTGGGGTGAAGACCGTTTGCAATGGCTTCAGGCTGGGTACGCGCACACCAACCTTAACCCAAATCAGTTGCCAAGACAATCGATTGGCGTGGACATAAGACAACCCACATGTTCTACCAATTTGATGGGCGTGGCATGGATTCCAACCCAAAAAGGAAAAGTCTTTGATGGCCACGTGCAGGTTCTGTGGTGGCAAGGCATTGTCCTATGAGATTGAGGATTCGGGTCCAGGAGGATCACAGGACTTGCTGTCACCGATAGGCCTTGCATATGCAATGAACCTTGCTCTGAGAACCTACTGGAGGGTGCCCTAGCTGAGCTTCCAAACTGCAGCAGTCATTTACAAATAGAACGTGAGGACCATAGATGTTTGATTGTGCCTTTGAAGTCTTGTCTTTTAATTCCTTCTATTTGGAAATGGCTGCTGCAAGTGTCAAGTTCCGTCCACTCATGAGTGCACAGTGGTCAGCGTTCTTGAGACTTGGCATCTCTTGGCATCTCTGATCGAGGCCGGCTTTACATTTTGGGCACCCGTTTGCAGTTCCTGGGTGTGGATGTCGAGGCCCTTTCTCAACATATGTTCAAGAACAGTTCTTGGTCATGCCATGACATATTGGACATGTTTACATTCAAGCCCTATACCTCGGTCGAGCCAAGCTGGCACTCAGCCATGCGCCTCACTCCGATCAGGTCGCAAAGCAAGCGGTCAACCTCGCGGCCGCTTGGAGATCAAAGCGTCGAGTTCGTCCACTTGGCGAAACTTGTCAGCGCTATAACCGAAGAAGAACTGGGCGAGCGGATATGTTTTTGCATGAGGCTTCAAAGAGTTGCGTGAACTGTGCATGAGACTCCATGGCATTCCAAATTTCAGCTCCCCTAAATTCTATAGTGGGCCCTCACTTGTCGTTGCATTGCTTTGCATTGCATTGATTTGCAGTGTATGCTGGAATTGCACTGCTTTGCAGCTTGTCTTGCTCGTCTTAGCCGGCCTTTCGAAATGGATAGCTTCAACATGTCCTCAGCCTCGGACAGTGACTGTGAGTCTTTGGAACACGATGTGAACTACGTCATGAAGTTGCAAGAGGTCGGTGAGAACCTGTTCTTTGGTATACGGTATGCCCATAGAGCTGAAGGACCCGACTTGTTTGTATGGGGGTATTTCATTGAATCATGCAGTGTCCAAAGGCCAACAGGCTCTTCAACAGTTCATGTTACCCTGTGCCAGGATAAGGTGGTTGTGGCTGTCGGGGAGGAGCCGCAGGACGATATCATCAAGGGTGACTTCCTCTCCGGCACCATCAAAGAGACACACCTGACCCTCAGTCTTTATAATCTAGAGCCTATATGTCACCACAGCTCTCGTGCAAAAAGCTTTATTGAGAAAGGGGGGACGGTGGGACCGTAAATGCAATTGACAACAGTAGCGCATTGGTACTTCAGCTCAGGAAAAGCAACTCGTGGATTATGGAAGTGCTTTTGCAATTCCATGTCTTCACCTTTCGCACTCCTTCGAAGCAAGAAATCTCAATCATTTGGCGTGCGTTCAATGCTGCTTCCAAGGCAGTTGTGTGTGTGTGTTCTTTAGTTATGTTCTTTAGTCGCGTTCTTTACATAGTCCTTTGCTTTGGCGTAATTTGGCGGTTTGATTTACTGGCAGGGCCTGGCGATCCAGGACAACAGGATCTTGAATTCTGAGCAGCAAGTGGACTTGTTGGGTACCAAGACCCGCAAGCTTTGGTCTTCGTTGCGAAGGACATATCTTGCCGTAGCTTGATTTGTGTTTTGGCATTTGTTTGCGAATGTATGGACGCAGTTAGAATTGAGAACCATGTTTGCAGTATGTGGCGGAACGCTCCACGCAATAGCCGGTCCACTTGGATACAGAAGTTGAAGAACAGAATGTCCAGCAACGAGGTGAGGAACACGGTATTGAACGTCTATACTATATATGTGTTGTGTGAGGTTCAACAATTATGTTGGAGTGTTTTCTTTCATCATTCATCAAAGGCCTTGGAGCGATCCGCGGGTCAAGACACTTCAACCAGCGACGATGCTGACAGCGTGGAAGACAAACAACTTTGGGACAAGGCCAAATAGTGAACCTCCTGAAACGTGTGGAAGCTAGAATTCAAAAGACACATGACGTTTGACAGGTCCTAGATGCAGGTCAAGAAGCCCCTCCTCAGCTCGAGCCTTTGCCCTGGGGAGACCGTCCGGTAACCTCTGAATCACCGGAGAGCAGCCCCACTATAGTCGATGAGAGTGGGCCTAGCAGTTCAAGCTCAGATGGCCAGGGCCGTCTTTCGGAGCGAGATGTGTTCGAAGATCAATTTGACAGTCAGATAGATCCAGAGAGGCATCCAGAACTTGCGGCGATCTTAGCTTCGATAGAGTTGCAGGGCCAACAAGAGCTAGACGCTGCAGGGCAGGAGGACGGCGTCGTGCACATTCAGGCGGTGAGCAATGCACCTGATCTCCTCACCCCTGAGTTGTATCATACTACACTGGCTGAATTCTATCTTCGACCTGATGTTTCTTAACTTCTGATGTTTTCGCTTTGGGAATTCATGTGTCTTATGTATATAAATATATACTTCTTTGCTTTGACGTATGCGGTCATTTGGTTGTCGACAGGTTCCAGCAGGCTATGATCATGAGGCTGCATCGGTATGGGCTAATCCACCTTCTCCCGTGCCCGAAGAAGAAGAAGGAGAAGAAAGGCCGAGCTGGCTTCACGCGAGTGTTGTGTTTTGCTTCTTCTCGGTGTTTATGTTACTTGCAGGGCATGTTTGTGTGTTTGGGCTTTCTCTAACCATAGTTCATACAGGCAAGAGGAAGAGCAAGGGCGCCGCGCCTGGTAAGTCCAAGAAGGCGAAGCTGGAAGAACCTATGAACGAACCTCTGGAAGAACCTGAGGAAGAACCTAAGGGCTAGAAACTTAAGGTGTCATATGTCATATGGTGACATTGCGCTTCATTCAGTTCCATCTGATGTTCAAAGTTCTTTACGTTTCTCATCTATGAAAAATTGCACTCAGCTCTTAACATGTGAAGCGTTCATTTTACTTCACGCTATAGAGTGGAACCCCGGAGTTTGCACAAGAGCCTAGGTGACATGGATCCAGTGGTGGCCAGCTTTGAGGCAGAGTATCGGCCTCTGCTGGACTTACTGCCTGATGCACTCCGACCCACATCGACCCGGCATGGCAAACACAGCTACACGCGGTGCCTTGCTTGGAAGTGTTAAACGGGCTCCCCTCTAAACGTATTTCGTTATCATATAGCTCCATGTCATCCACCAAGAATAGAATGCGTACAAAAGTGTGGGGTTCAAAGAAGCTCCAAACATGATCAGCGATGTGTGTAGCTGCGTAGCTGTCTACTAAGTTGGGTGGCTCGTGAACTGATCACACAGTTCAAAAAGTTCTAACCGCACCGATAGACCGCTCCCGATTGGTCCACGCCCACGCGCCCAGGCATATCCACGGGAAGGGCAAAGCGGAGGTCTTGCTCCGGCAGCGTGCTCTCAAGCCTAAGATGACGATCGAAGGGGAAGCAGTGAGTGGTCCTTCGACCCATAGCTGCACAGCGAGGAATGAATGCTTCAACATGTACTCCAAGAGAGGTCAAGATATGAATGCATGGGCCATGGGATCTGACCCCCATAACCCTGTTTGGCACCCCACATGTATGCACCTGACATGTATAGTTGAGGGGGTCACCCAATCCAAGTGGAAAGTCTCTCTTGGTTTGTAATGAAAAGCACTCGCTACTCTGGCCGTGGCAATCTTAGGATATCATGGGCCGTCGACATGAAGAAAGCCGTGGACCAGTGCTACAAGATGATTGGATTGGGTGAGATGACAGAGCATGCGTAAGCACCGCTAGTCTCTAATTTCGCTAATTTATTTGGGGAAGCAGTGTGAGTTCACATTGCTGTAGTGATTCCACTCCTGCTTAGAGGCCTCGAGGGTAAAATCAAAGTAGATAGAAGAAGTCACCTTTCAAACCTGTGTTTTGCAAGCCCTCTCAGTTTAGAACTCGATCTCTCTTGGCCAGCAGGATGGCTTCCAAGCTTTTGAATCCTTAGGTCGTGCGATCCATCCACTGAGATGCAGATAAACATAGAAACATCAGGGGGCCAGGCGGCCAAACAGGACCACTTGACTTGTTGGGGGATTGTGAATATGTCCCATCCAAGGAATGTGATGGCAGCACGGGTGGCCTGATTCTTTCGCTGATGAGTTCGGTTGGCCTACCGTGGGTGCTTGAGCAACCCTCTTCAAGCCTTCTAGAGCACCACCCGGCCTTTAAATGGCTTGCCCGCCACTTCCGCGTCTACAAGATCTTCATATGGATGGGAAGCTATGGGGGTGGGAGCACCTCTGCCAAATCATTATAGTGAGGATATGGATATATGCAGAATTCCAACATGTCAGGATATGAATCTTGTGTGTTGGTTTCCAACGAGCTGTGCATGCTTAAGGTCCAAAGCCAACATGGCTGTATTCCAATTACCCTTGCCTCCTGCGACCGCTCTTCATGAGCCTGCCGAAGAACAGGAAGTGGGAAGCATCCATGACTACAAGGTTTGGGTATTGCTTCTGTCGTAACAAGTGTCTCACAAAGCAATGAGCATCATGCCCCACTTCAATCTACAATCATTGTGTTTGCACCTGGAGGTCCGTCAGTGAGGATGGCACCCGCGCATGGGTGACTGGATCTTCAGACTTGAAAGAGTCCCAACACTACCCGGTCCTCTTTGGGAGGGCCATGGCAGAGGTTGTCAACAAGAACAAAGAGTTCTTGGTGGAAAGGATCACCGCCCGGAGGACAGCCCCTGTCTGGATGAATGCACCTATGGTTGGGAAATATGTGGTCAATGGACAAAACAGCAGCCTTTGAAGTTAACTGGAAAATAATGATATGTCCACAGTATACATGGTTCTTTGCAGGAGGGATCTTTTGGAACATCCAAAGGCAGAGCTGAAGGACCGCATGCATGCACACATGCATGACATGTCGCCTCCAAAGCTATATACATTTGGAGCACTATGATGTAATATATATATAACTTAAATATATCTTTTGTATCTTTAGCCATCGAATATAATCCGTGAATCCGTGAACCTGCATGTTCACGGATTCACGGATTCACGGCGCTCTGCAGGACACGGTCCGCTGGGCTTCCGCGGCTGATGTTCGACCGGTGATGATCCATCTTCTCCAGCCTCATGTGCAGAAGTGATCGAGGCAATTCGAAGCGATCGCGCATGCTCGTGCACACAGCATGGGTCATCTAAAGGATCTTGAAGAGAATTTGCTCGAACTATATCGAACTTATCAAATTCTTCACAGTTTGTTTGTTTTTTATCGGAAATTGAACACCCGTGAATCCGTGAAAAAGCCGTGAAACAGCCGTGAAAACCCGTGATTTTTCATGGGTTTGAAAGCTGACCCAAATCTCTGTGAGTTTGAGTGGATTTCTCACCCTTAATAAGCAATTGGATGCTTTGACTTCGTTCGAGATGGGAACAAACAACTATAAGTTTCCGTGAATCAAAGCACTGCTCGTGAATCCAATTTTATGTGTAAATACCTCAGGGCTCTCATTTGGTCTGTGCCTTATATTTGTGTGATCAGTTCAAGCTGTCTTGTGGGTTTTAGCTAGTTCGCCATTGCAAAAACAAAGAAAAGCAAAGTAGAGAAGACACAAGAAAAAAAGTCTGTGGTACCACCACCTCCTCTCAGAGTTCGTGGCAAAACACCAGACCCATCGTATCGAACCAAGAGTCCTGCGAAGAGACTGAAGAAAGCAGAGAAACATGCGACACAGAAGGTTGAAAGTATCCTGAAAAGTGTAGCTACGCCCCAGAAGCTGAAGCGGAAGTTGAGCTTTCAGGAAAGGCCTACTGTCACTGAGATCGTGCCTGAGAATCCAGGTCCATCCAAGGCACGGGCCAAGAAGAAGAGTGGGGCTATGTCTGAGGTGGAAGCTGATTCAATTCTATCTTCGATGAACGATGCAGAGGCCAGGTCTCGAGACCGTCTTCATATATATATATATATGTGCTTTCAGTATATCTTTCGTATTTCAGTCAAATAAATTGTACAATTGCAGGCTAGCGAATCAGTATCTTCCGCATCAGAAAGTGCACCTGAAGAGGACCAACTGTTTCTCCTTTGAGTTCAGTTTGTTTGAGCGCTCCACTCATGCAGGACGACTTTTCCAGTACTGATGATGACTCATCGTCAAGCTCTGGGGAAGATGAGGATCAGAAGGCCTGGTATGCTTACCGGCATCTCAGTGAAAAGGAGCGAAGGGAACTAATCTACCCAATGTCAGACATTCAGAGATGGATGAGATCTGGATCAATTTGGTGTTACCTTGCTGCGCTGGAGGCCGAAGCAAACGAAGCTGAGGATGGTGAGAAAGAAGAGAAGAATGATGAAGAAGAAGGCGGTGACGAAGAAGATGAGGATGAGGATGAGCAGAAAGATGGATCAGACGAAGAAGCAAATGACGAGGAGCAACAAGATGAGGACGGTGATGAGGACGATGAAGAAGAATCAGAGGAGAATTCAGACGAAGCCAGCACTAGTGCTGAGGCTGATGACGAAGAGGAAGACGACCAGGAATCTTCTGATGAGGATGAGGAGGACTCAATGGAGCTGAAGAAAGAGAATGAGAAGAAGGAGGAGAAAGACACACAGAAGGAGAGTGGGAAGAAGAAGGGAGGAGTCAAGGAGGACCACTCCAGTGGGTCCGAGAAGGAAAAGAAGAAAGAAAAGAGTGAAGGAAAAAACAAGACGGCAGCAAAAGAGGCACCAAAGGACAAGAAGAAAGGAGGTGAGAAGGAGGCAGGCTCGAGCGAGGCCAAGAAGAAAGGAGGTGAGAAGGGGGCAGACTCGAGCGAGGCCAAGAAGAAAAGAGCAGACTCGAGCGCGCTGTCCAAGAAGAAAGGAGATGAGAAGGAGGCAGACTTGAGCGACGCCAAGAAGAGGAAAGGTAAAGGTGATGAGAAGAAGGAAGAGTCGAGCGAAGCAAAGAAAGGTAAACGTGAGAAGGAAGATGTCAAGAAGGAAGCAAAGGAGGAGCCCAAAGAGAAAAAGAACAAAGGTGACAAAGATGGCAGGGAAGCACAAGCAAAGAAGGCAGAGAAGGAAGGTGGGAAAAGAGAAGAGCACGCAAAGAAGAATAAGAAGAGAGGAGATGAGAAGGACGCAAAGAAGAAGAGAGAAGGCGAGAAGGTTGAGAAGACAAGGACATCATCAAAAGACAAGAAGTCAAAGGGATCAGGTGAGAAGGAGGAATCCAGAGGTGATGCAAAGAGAAGGAGAAAAGAAAGGGAGAAGAAGAAAGCTGAGCGGTTTGACCCAAGCGCGGGTGCAGAAGAGACAAAGGGTGACGGAGAGAGTGAGGAAGAGAAGAAGTGCCTCGAGCTGGTCGAGGCAGAAATGGAAGTGGATGCAAAGGGAGAGGGTATGGACGTCGTCAACTCTTCCACCCACCGTGCAGAGTGGATGCGCTATACAAGATGGCTGAAGAACAAGAAGCGCTTCTGCGAAGCTGCAGGCCAGCTTGAACTCGGAGAATGGGCGGAACAAACTATTCCAAGAGCAGTACGACTTGGAGACAGCGCTGGAGGAGTCAGCCCGGATCGCAGGCGTCGAGCCGGAACCGGCTGACTTGGGTGTCGGTGAAGCCGCTGCCATTGGCGCGGGAAAAGGTGAGAGAGACCGCGCCCGTAGGAGGGGGTGCCGTGCTGGCGCCAAGCACGTCGCAGGCCGCGAAAACCTCTCCTATGGGCAGACGTGTGAATACATCCGTGCACAGCTCGGTGATTCCACTTATGCGCGGTTCGGCCGCCGCTTCAATCTCCCTCACATTTCCCCACAAGTGGCCCGTAAGCAGTACCCAGAGTGGTTTGGATATGTTCTTCGTCACTTGAGAGGTGGGCGTCTGATGCGGAAGGAGAGCTTTTGCCAGTGGGTACCATCACCCGATGGGCAACGATCCTACCTGAGCTTTGGCAGTTCCTGTATTCGATCGACTCCACATTGCTGCAAGGTATCCCACAACCGAAATACAGACTGCCCAGGGGCTATTGGAGCTCAGATCACCCTTTCGTGCCGCTTCGCCACGTGCGTTCGGCCGAGACTAAGGTCGCCCCTCCAAGGACAGTCTTTAATTCTGGCTCGACGGCCTCCTCGTCGGCCGCGCCGCCCCGCACCGATCGATCTCGCTCTGCTGCCCCTATAAGGCCATTCCGGGATCGTCCTCTGCGGCTAGTGCATCGACAGCGACAGCTCCTTGGCGCCCCACGCTCGATCGTGGGCATGTCCCGATTATCTTGACACCTCGTTCGCAGGTAGAAGCAAAGGCCACCAAGGCCAACGCCGGGAAGTCAATGTCAAAAGGGATTGAACCTAAGCCAAAGTCTGTAGCTGCAGGGCCGAAGTCTGAGCCAGCCGCAGCCTCTGGCGCGGGCGCCTCACATTCGTCCAGTAGCCTGCCTGTCCCACCTAGTCCACCCCCAAAGGTCCCGCCGGTCCCGTCACCGCAGGCCAAAGGGTCGACTCAGATCAAGGCCGGGGCTACGTTCGTCGAGGTTCCCAAGCCATCATTGCCCATTCGACTTCCACCTCCACCAAAGGGTCCTGCGCCGAGTCCTCCGACAGCAGATGACCATCAGGGGGGGCATCCGTCTATCGTCCCACTCGAGCCACCTCCGTCCATCCCGTATGGGGACACAGAACCACTTGACGCTCCGGGTCCTAATGAATATAGCTACCGTGGCCGCAGCAATCCCGAGCAGATTCCGGTTCTCCGACCTGTCAAAGCAGTTCCCCCTGTCCCTCTCGATGCTGACCAGCTTGACATGAGCGCCTTGCAGCAGCAAGACGCCAACCTCGAAGCACTAAATAACAAGGTCGTGCATGCCAAGGCCCACGCGTCCAGTGCGTTGGGTGGAGCATCGCTTCGTGGCGAGCTCGGGCAAGCGTTGTCACACGTGAGGTCAGAGAACACAGCAGAGGAGGAAGAGGACGTCGTGGTTGAGGAGGAGGAGGAAGAGGGCCAAGGGGCCGCCTTGCCTGAGGCACCCGAGTCTGAACAAGACCAGCCAACAACGAGTGCAAAAGCCGCTGCCTTAGGCGCGGAGCCAGTCCGTCCGGTCGTGATGACCCCGGGTCCGGGCGCCTTCATCCATCGGCACTTAACACCGTTTCGCCTTCGTAGGACTCAATGGGACCGCGAACACGAACCATCAGTGCCACTTGAAGACGCTCAAGACCGGGTCTACGACTTGGACTGGTCGAGCACCCCGCAGGCCGAGGGCGACCACCTACTGCCCTCTTCGTCCACCATTCATGTTCCTATATGAACTCGATGCCGAAGACTCAGATAACTCTGACCCTGAGGCTCGTTCACGTCGCATCCGTAACCTTGAAGGTAGGACTGAAGATGCCGGTTGGCTCACATGGTTGGAGGGCCATCGTCCTAAGACCAGTCAGTCAAGTCACCCAAAGCCGAAGTTGACCGAGCCAGCATCTAAGCGAGTTCGAGTAATTGTAACCGCCGACGCACTAAAAGGGGCGCCCCCTGTAACGCCCCCACATGTTCGACAAGTAATTATAGTCCCTAAGAATAAGCCTAAGGGTGCATCAGTAGCTGCAGGTCCTAGGGTCCCATTACATGAACCCCAGTTGTCAACAGCCACTGAGACGGTGTTCGTGCCATCCGGTCCGCCTCAGCCGCCGCCCCAGGCGCGGGAGGCAGCACAGGCAAGTGCTACGCCAATTGCGCCCCCGGTGTCTCAGCCGCCTGTTGTCAAAGCGTCGAGGTCCCACAGCACGCCACCTCCGGTGGTATCGATCGAGTCCTCGTCGGCGTCTCCGCCACCGGCGAAACCGCCCTCGAAAGCACGCCCGGTTCGCTCAAGGTCTCCTCCTACCAAGGTTAAACCACCCCCGCCAGAGGCGAGGCAATTGTCTGTCTCTGAGTACGTCAAATGCTCAGGGGATGTTGACCAGATCCTCCTTCGCCACGAGCAGTCCCTTCTTGAGCAAACCCGTTCAGAGATCAAGTGGGGCTTCAGAGGAGAAAAATGGATGTTGGATCGGCATGGTGAGAAGAAGGGGAGGAAGTTGATGAACAGAAAGAAGGAACTTGGCTTGACCTGTGCCGACCCAGAGTTGCCCGACGACAAGGACGAGCTCCTCTACTTCACACTTGTTTGCTTGGATGTGGCAAACATCAACGAAGTCTCCCGCTTGACAAGAATGGAGCTTGAAGGCTGCATTGATCAAGCTGGGTTGGAGGAGTTCACAAAGGCTAGGTATTGCTGCCTTTTAATTCCTTGTAATTGTAAGTTCGCTCTTGATTCCCACAAGTGACATTTCTGACAGTTTCTGTTTGCTCGCAACTTTTGCTAGGCTGGCGGAGTGCTGGACCCAAACGCTGGCCTCAAGATTGCGGACTTTGCTGGCAGCATAGGAGCAAACAAACTCTTGGAGACAATGAGCTCGCTTCAGGGCGCAGACCCAAAGAACAAGAAAAACAGGAAAAAACAAGAAAAACAAAAAACAAGATGGTGAGAATAAAGAGGAAGAACAGGTGAAAGAGGCCGGTTCCAACATGCTCTATATAGTTCCTACAGCCATGGCTTTCTATTTGGTCTAAAGTTTAAAAGCTGGCACGACCTTTATGCCCTTTGTGCGTTTGGGCCCTGAGGTGGTTGAGGAAACCCCGCTTGCCAAAGCCCAAGCGCTGCTCGCCCGAGTTCTGAAGGATGTGAACGACTGCAGGATTGACTTTATTCAAAGCTTATTCATACAGCGTCTATGAAAACATTGCCATGTTAATTCCCCTGATCCCCATGAAAAACATCTGCGCTGTTCCCCTTCTGAGGACCCAAGCCTTCAGGTTGCAGCCTATCAAGCTTGGAACAGACCTGATCGCGCAGCTGATGGCAGTCGCAACCAAGCTGGAGGGCTTGGCGGGGAGGCTCCAGGAGCTTGTGAAAAAGAAGAACAACAAAAACAAGCACTACCGTGAGATCATCTTAGAGGCTTTCGTGTTTAGTGACACTTTCAAGCCCAATGTATGAGTTTGCTAAATGCCATATGATATGTGTTTCACTGGTCATTGCCCGAAGGTGGACAAGCACACCAAAATCTGCCGTGAGCGAATCGACTTGGGGAAGGCGCTGGTTCGGGCCAGCGAAAAAGCTGGACAGCCGAAGGCATCTGCAAAGCCCAAGGCAGCTCCTAAGGAGCCTAAGGACCCTAAGGAGAAGAAAGGTTAGTTTTCTTGGTGTCAATCATGAAAGGCCCAATGCGGCCCATGCATATCCTGCTCCGAACCTTGCTTAGATGTACGGGGTTGCAAGTGTGGTGGGTAAAGGTCTCCTAACTTAGAAAAAAGAATCAAGTATGCTCACGATCCAGGATTCCATCCATGCTCCACTCACTTGCCGGGGTACCCGCAGGGATTGTGCCAGGATTGGATTCCGATCGCCAGGGAAAAGCGTTTCTCATGTTTGATCGAACTCGCGAACTTGCAGTTCTTTTGCTTGGATCGCCATGGATCTTCATTTTGTTTTTTTCGTCGGTTGAGCATGGGGTTCTCCAGGTACCGTTCCGAAGCATCCCGAACTCGCTCAAGGTCCCGCACTCGAGATGAAGGCAAGCTTGTCTTCGTAGACGATCATCCACAATCCATGGCCTCATGACTTTGTGAATCTTGGTGACTTCTTCAGGCCATCGAAGACTAGAACATGCACCTCCTCCAAAAGGACCGAGGTATATATATATATCTTATATATATATATATATAGTCATAAACATATCGTACTTGAAACATATCTTTCGAATACGCGTGGACGGTTCTTGATCGAGTTCTTGACATGTCTTGGGGATCAACAGCTTTCCAGGAAAACGAATTCTCGAAGCAGCAAGTGGTTCTGCCTCGATACTCTTCAAAAGGATGTGTTCAGGGGTCAGGCCCTTATTTGTGCATCTATAGCTTGTAGCCGACCAACAGTCTTCCAATCAGCGGTATAACCAAAGAAGTTTTGCCCAAGGCCACCTCTGTGACTGCTGGATGTCAAGAAGCTGAGCAGTTGGAAGCTGATGGTTTTGGCTGCCCCCTGAGTGCCCTCATAGCATCGTGGAACTCTTCTGGACACTGTGAACGTGAGTTTCAAAGGTTCATTGCAAAGTCAAAAGTGTCTTGTAAAAAGTTGCATTTACGATCGAGCGTCAGGGATTTTCGAACAAGCCTTTATGTTATACCATCTTCAAAGATCAAACGAGCCTTTACTGTGTTATATAGAGCAATTAAATATACCTGTGATAGTTGGACAAAACAAACACTGTTCACTTCCCTGCGCGTTGCAAGGTGGTGCCGGGACAATTGCACACTCCAACCTGATCGCGTGAAGTTAGATCTTAGCGACCCACAGCACGAGAACGGGGTGATCTGGCCGTGGGACATTCTTGGTTGGATGTCGGAAAACAACACATTTCTGTCGTGGGTGCATGATGACCCGTCCCGTGCCAATGAGAGCGTCACCGAATTTTGGAACCGTTTGTCGCACCTGCCATTCTATCGTGAACTTCAGTTGGAAAATCCTAGCTGGACAGTACCAGTTGCATGGCATGTTGACGGTGTCAAAGTTTTCAAAACGCACAAAGTGTGGGTGTACTCGTTTTCATCCTGCACCCGGAAAGGTCCTAGTGTGGACACTAAGCTCCTATTCCTCGTTTTGAGGGACACCATGATCATCAAAGACCGAAGTCATGACTCTGTTGCCAGAGTTATTGGGTATTGCATGGACGTCTTGATGACTGGCAACTACCCGGCCAAAGCGTTTGACGGGAGCGACTTCTTACCGGATTCCTTGGAGGCCCAGCGTGCCAACCGCCCATTTTGCAATGGGTGGAGATTCGCCTTTGCTGCATGGAAGGGTGACCTCGAAGCGAGAGTCATTTGTCACAAACTTGTCTGTAACTGGGCAGCGGATAGCATCTGCATGTGAGCACTGTCTAGCTTCGAAGATCAATAATGGATTCCAGTACACGGATTTCACCGACCATGCAGCATACTTTGAATGCATCTTGTCTCATGCAGACTTCCTGGCACTGAATCCAGTTTGCCAAGCAGAGTGCGTGGCAATCCGTGAGGGGTTGGCAGAAGGACCGCAACCTTGATGAACCTTGGTGGACATGAATCTTTGTAGGTACTTTGGTCTTGTTAATAGATCTTTGGGCTTCGGTTTTGTCAGCCATTTGCTAGGGTGGTTTGGTGCAATGTTTGGGCCAGTCATCTCTCTCAGGATATGTTACACATGGTTCATCAAGGTGCCGGTCCAATAGCGATTGCGGCGCTGATCACTCACCACTTTGAGGAGACTGGTGTAACCCTGGATCGCTTAAGCGAGGTTCTCTCCCACGAAGTGTGGCAAGATTACAAAACTTGGGCAGGGTCTCGAAGGCAAGTGGTGAGTGTTACAAGCTCTCAGTTTAGTGGCTTGCGTTATGGCCGGGACAGTTGGCAGTCCTATGCTGAGCTCAGCAGCGTCTACAAGGGTGCGATGGTAAAATTCATGTTGTACTGGGTGGCCAGTTGTTTGAACAGACTCATGGAGGAAAACACCACCGAGACTTCAAGATTGCGAGCTTGTTGCGCACATGCCCTGGCAATGGTCCAGTTCCTCCAGGACTCAAACGGTCCCTGGCTATCTGATGAATGTGCTGCTTGACATGTGCTACTATGGGCGTACATTCTTGATCCTGTACCAAGTTTTGGCAAAGGGTGCACGGCGACGGTGGCCAGAACTCAGAATGTACAAGTTAGCGCCAAAATTTCATTGTGTACTGCACGCATGTCTGTACGTGAAAACCACTAAGCGCAACCCCAGGTACGAGCATTTGTACATGGAAGAAGACTTCATGAAACACGTAGCACAGATATGCAGCAAATGCCATCCACGAACGTTGGATTTCGTTTCACTAGCTCGATACCGCTCTTTACTTGAGCTTTGTGGTTGAAAACAGACCGGGCTGAGGGCCAGACCCACAGCACAGCCCGACACGTCGGACCGCCCCGTCGCCGGGACCCGAAGGTTCGAGGTTCAGGCTCGAAGGGTGTGTGTGTTTGTGTGTTCAAACAAGCTTTGTGTAAAACGTGTGTGTGTGAACCACTATGGTTGTGGAAACATGTTTGTGCAAAACCTGGGGTGCATGATCCTTAAAACCTCCCAAACATACTGTCATATGCTCGAGCATGAACTGACGAGCGTCGGTGCGGCGTGAGCATGCACTCGAGGAACCCCAATCGACCAGCATCCTGCTGATCAGCAGGCCTTAGACCAAAAAATCAAAACAAACAGGTTCCCAACAGTTTTCGTGAATATACGCTATACGTTTGGTATTGGAGCTCCCCATGGCTTTTTGTGTCTCTGTCGGTACACGACAGCAACTGCTTCAAAATGACGCCTTTGGGGCTTATGACAAAGAACTATGTGAGTTTCAAGCGTTTAGGCTCTGCAGGTACACCAAAGCCCCCACAAGCTCGCAAGCGCAAGCAACCACCACCACCGCCGCTCAACCCACAGGCAGACTGGGATACCTGGGATGGTGACGCTGATTGTCGCCTCGTAGAGCTCAAAAGCAACCCCAAGCTTCGACCCAATTGGATCTTTGTTGCCCGACGGGTCGGATATTCCGTCGAGCAGTGCCAAGCTCGATGGAAAGAGCTCCAAGACCTACAGAAGCTACAGGACAACAAACCTCCTGAATCCACTTCACCAGCTGCCGACCCCGCGCAGATGACACCACCACCACCACCTCTTCTCTCCTCTCCGAACCACATCTCACCTACTCCTACATCACCGGCCAACACACCACCACCACCATCACAGGCAGACTTTTCACCCTCTCCAACGACTACCCCTCGATCCACACATGAAGTGTCGCCACATGAAGCTTTACCACTGCAGCCGGCTGCTGAGCGAGCGCCCAGTGAGAACAGGCATCCGGAACCACATGCTGACACGCCAATAGGCAGTTATTTCATTTGATCGGTTTCACCCCCTCTCTCCGGCGTGCCACAGAATAAATTCACCAGCAGTTCTTTCCGAAGTTTGGATTTCTCACATGTGAGCCTCCGGTTTGCAACTCTTACTGCATGCCCAATTGAGCTAATGTTTACCGTTCTCATGATTTTGGTCATGCTGTCCTGAGGGACATCTTTGTGATTCACATTTTGTGTTTTTCGAACGGCTCACTCCAGTCCCGCAGCATTTACGTGACGCTCCGCACTTGAGCCCTCCTACCACCCTTCATGGCCTCCTCTCGTGATCGCACTCCAGCCAACAATACAGGCAATGACTACTACTTACCAGGACGACCTCCCAGTTGGCTCCGCCCCTCCATTAGCACTCAGCCAGACTTCCACTCACTCAACTGCTCACTGGACATCCTTTTCCTGATTATCCAACACATCCGCCGCCGCCCACTTCACACAGAACCCATGCCGGACCAAACATACTTCCAAGATTACAGAGCATACAACATACTTTACCAACTACGACGGGACATGATGCTAATGGACCGACAGCATCTACCAAGCTCGACGTTTGCTCCAATTTGTCCCGGGAGAGCCTGGACTCCCAGGACAATATCGTATGGACCCCTCAGCACGACTTACCTCCAGCAACCTTGCCGCACTCCACAACACACCACCCGGCTTCCCTTTGCCACGAGCGCCTTCAGACCACTCACCTTCTTCACCACCACGCACACCCCCTGAAGACGCACAGCGCTTTCTCCATTACTGGACTGGCCCTCCACCACGTGCCAACAATGACCCCGGCCAGACCAACGACCACCGTGCCAGAGAGCGCTCACGCTCACGCGACGCCCATGCAGACTAACTCCCCAACCTCACCACAGCAACACGCCTGACAGCAGCCTTGCGCTGAGGACTTGCGGCCGCCCGCCATGCTCACTCCTCCACTTGAGAACACCTTTCAGGCCGCGATTGCTGATCCATATGTTTTGTCTCACCGACAATCCACGGTGAGCCCCAGTGACAAAACGTCAGCATCGGCATTTCGTTTCCTTTTCCTTTCTCTTCTTTTTTCCTTTCCTTTCTTGTGTTTCCTGTCTTTAGTTACAAAGCAGCAGCTTACTTTTACGCCCGCAGCCATCTCACTGTACCGTTCCCCTCCTCTCTATCTCTCATGACTGAGCGCCATATTGCCGACATGCTGCTGGGCGCTGATGCTCCGACTCCAACCTC